TGTTATTCCTGTGTTATTACTGTGTTATTCCTGTGTTATTACTGTGTTATTCCTGTGTTATTACTGAACTATTTCTGTGTTGTTACTGTGTTATTCCTTTGTTATATCTGTATTATTACTGTGTTATTAAAGTGTTATTCATGCAAAGTATGTTGCAGCTGTTATTTCTATGAAATTATGTTGTCTTTGCTATTCTGTTACAAATAAAATCGTTTTTTTCACTGTTTATCCTATTTTGGCACAATCCCTAAACTGAACTTGAGTAGTTTTACTAAGGGCACCCATCTCACATGAAATTGAACTATGTCAAACATATTCTACCTGCCTTCCTGATATAAATTACTATGAATTTGATATGGTAATTAATACTGAGACACTAATTTGGGCAAAAAGCACTAATGACTTGTTTAAGACTTGAATCTTACAGCTGAGGACTTGCAACTCGACTTGAACTTGCCTGTCTTGACTCGGGACTTGACTTGGGACTTGTCTGTCTTGACTCGGGACTTGACTCGAGACTTGAATGCAAAGACTCGAGACTTACTTGTGACTTGCAAAACAATGACTTGGTCCCACCTCTGCAACAAACCAATGCATGGAGGGAGGGAGGGAGGGAGGGAGGGAGGCTCTCATTAACATAGCCTACAGTGGATGAAAGTTTACAGGTCTAAAACTAGTAGTCTGGGACTCCCATGCTTTCCAAAAAGGATTCAGATATAGAATAGGTTCGATTACAGGAATATATATTATTCTCATTAGTATAGCGAGAAGATGCCACTTCCATGTTTTCCAAATTTTTCAGGTCTCCCAGATTTGCCAAATCCAAGACGACTACTCTTGGATTGCAGTACTCTGCTGGACCATCAGGTTGGAGGTGGTAAGCATATTTTTTCACTTTATATTTCTGTTTTTGTTGTTTTTACATGCATTTGTTTTCATTTATAGCACATGAGCACTTTATTTACATTTGATGATTTGAAATAGCCTGATTCTGAATTTGATCCATGAATTTTTGATCTAAGAATGCTCATACAACATTTAACAACTGCAAAAAATAATACATGGTGGTTGGCAATATGCTGCTATAATTCAACCAGCTTTCAGTTTTGTGTCTAAAGCTGAAACACGGTCAGATTAACACTGAGCCATTTCACATGAAATGGATCAGACGCTAGAGCTTCTCCAATTAGGCCAGGGTAGAAAACAAACACACAGAATACTATATTGTAGATATGGATAAAAAAAAGAAAAGAAAAGGATTTATTAATATAATTTCATTTGGTTAAAAATAGTAGAACAAAAAAGCCAAAAAAAAATAAAACAACATGCATTAGAATTTCATTAATTAGACAAAGTGGAATTTTGTTCTTCTAATGTATACAATATTCCCTTTTAAATCAAATGCAATATTAAAGTCTCTAAACAAAATGTATCTTTTATTAGACTCTCTTTATAAGATATCATGCATGTTTTATTCATTATAAAAACTGTGCAAAAAAAGCAACAAAAATAACAGGCGACAATCAAATACTACCAGAGAGGATGGGCAACTGCAGGCGGGGTTCTAGTTGATTGACGCATGGCTGCACCAATTGATTCCTTCCCTCTCATCCTGTGTCTGCACCCTCTCCATCGCTCTAATGCCCTCCTCATCTCCCTCCCCCTCTGTCTCTCTCATTTTTGAATGGTCAGGAGGTGTGTGAATGTGTTTATAAGATATCATGCATGTTTTATTCATTATAAAAACTGTGCAAAAAAAGCAACAAAAATAACAGGCGACAATCAAATACTACCAGAGAGGATGGGCAACTGCAGGCGGGGTTCTAGTTGATTGACGCATGGCTGCACCAATTGATTCCTTCCCTCTCATCCTGTGTCTGCACCCTCTCTATCGCTCTAATGCCCTCCTCATCTCCCTCCCCCTCTGTCTCTCTCATTGTTGAATGGTCAGGAGGTGTGTGAATGTGTTCATCTTTGCTGAGGAGGGGCTGCATGCATGCAGGAGTGTGTGTGAGTGTGTATTCGTGTGCGTGTGTGTGCACCTGTGTGTTAAAACAGCATTGTTCCTGATAGAGGGAAAGCTGTGCCTTGTTGTTTGGAAAATCCAAGGTCATTGGAGCCCGGTCACATGCGCCGTATGAGAGCGTGCATGTGTGATTGAGTGTCTGTGAGAGCGTGTGTCTCTCTCTCTCCCTCTCTCTCTGGCTATGTGACAGAGAAAGAGGCTTCAGGCAAAGAACAGAGAATTTCATCAGGTTTTCCATCAATGTACGGTAAGGGCGATTGTGTAAGTGCATGATTATGTGTATATGGTAATTCCCTGCCTGTGTTTTTAGGAAGGAAAGATTCATGTGCATCACAGGAGATTATGGCAATGACAGCAGAATGATGCTGAAGCAACAGATTGCATGCAGTATTGCAGCTCTGCTCTATTTATTGTGCATATTTAATTTCATCTTTCATTTCAGGCATCACCGACTTTGCTTCATCCACACTACTTTGCACCAAATACTCAAACACACACTACTAAAACACACAGATCTACTGCAACGTTCAGTTATTTACACTAACTGTACATTTGCATGTACACACATTATATTTCCTGCTGTATTCATATTATTTTCTCTGACCAGCATGCATGGTTGAGGATGAGTCGAACAAGCTGCAGGCAGTCAGGCTGCGACTTTGATTTTTCACAGCGTGGATGCCTTAGAGATGTGCGACTGGCTTTAGCGCTTCAAAACCAGATCGATTACATTTTTAACAGCCTGACTATTTCACTCAAAATTTTTCACTCATGTCAGGTAAATCAGCTTTTCGAGAGAATGTAGGATCAAGTCAGTTATGTAGGCTGATCGATTATGCTATGCCTTTTTTTACTTAAAAGAGTTAAAAAGATTAGTTAATCAGCAATGGTATATCATGTGAATATTTTTATGGTTGACTAGTATAACAAAACTAATTGATTTGACTAAAAAAATATTTGAACAAAATGTTTAAAAATATATAAATATATATTTTTTAATTAAAATGTATATTATCATACTGACACTGAGTGAAAAATGTAATTAATAAATGAACTAATTTCACATGGTCAATGTTACAAATATATAGATTTGTGGCCTAGAATCCCATATGTTACCAATCAAAACATTTAGGGTCAGTAAGATTTTTTTTTAAATTAAGGAATTAATACTTTCATTCAACAAGGATGCATTAAATTGCTCACAAAAGATTTTTATTTCAATAAAAAACAGTTATTTTGAACTTTCTGTTAAATTAAAGAATCCTGAAAAAATGTATCATGGTTTCCACAACAATATTAAGTTGCACAACTGTTTTCAACATTGATAATAATGAGAAATATTTCTTAAGTACCAAATCAGTATATTAGAATGATTTATAAAGGATCATGTGACACTGAAGACTTGAGTAATGATGCTGAAAAAAAAATTCAGCTTTGCCATTGCAGAAACAAATGACATTTTAAAATATATTAAAATGGACAACAGTTATTTAAAATGGTAATAATATTTCGCAGTATTATCTTTTTACTGTGTTTGTAAGCAAATAAATGCAGCCTTAGTGAGCAAAAGAGATTTTAAAAACATACAAAAATATTACCAACCCCTTAACTTTGGAGGATTAGTATAACACCATTTTATGTAACAAAGTTTTTTTTTTTTTTTTAATTGTAATTTTCGGAATCCTACATTTTTCTGTTGATCCAAGTTTAAATTATATTTTGAATCCTAGATTTTCAATTTTTTTTTTCAGAGATTTGGACCTCACTGCGTGTTATTTAGATTTACATTTTGGCCACAACTGCAAACTGTTTTGGGGCATAATATGTAATGTTTTAATAGCATTACTGAAACACTTTAACTAAGCTTATTCAAAAAGGCACAACGTCATTCTCATACAGAGTCCTGGGTATGCAAATAATAGTTTTAGATTAACTAGATGCTCATGGAAGTAGAGCTTACAGTGACAAGGTTAAAGAAGTAAATGAATAGACTACATTATTCGGCCTAGAATGAAGTTCCCTCTCTGTAGTTCTGCTTTTCCCTGTGACACTTCCCTATGAGAGTGAGTGGCTTTGATAGTGTGTCCTGTTTTGGGCAATCTGAAGGGATATGGCATCTGTGATGGCTGATGTGCTAAATATAGCTGTCATTTCAAGAAGCTCCAACAATTCAGGGGAACCGTATTTAGAGTGGCTGCATCATGACAAGAGAGACAGTGCCCGGAGTCTGCGTTTTGTCTTTCGGAAAGATTGATTTTCCATACTGTAGCTGCCACAACATGGAGTTTGATTCATTCACATGCATAGTGAGTTGTGTGTTATGTAATTTTGTAACAAAGCCCTGTTAAAGCTGGATGTCTTCTAGTATCCCTACCAGCTTGGAGGATATCATATAAGCCATAGTAGCACATCCGAGCACAACTAGTTCTTTATTATGACATAATCTTCTTTGTCACTGTGCCAGCTATAGCCTTTGTTTTGCAGCGTATGCAGATTGCAGATGTGTGTATAGAGTTGTTCTTGGCAACAAAGTATGTACTTACTTCCTTAGTGATGATGCTACACTCCTGATATAAATTATTTAGTTGTTTGTGCTTTTTGAGCATAACATTTTACATGTATTTATTAACATTGTTATCAAATGTAGAATTCTGATATAATAAGTTAAAATACTAAAGCTAAAAGCAGATATTTTGGCCCCTGGGCTCAGTCAGTGTCAGTAGATTGTGCCAGGTGAATGATAGAGTTGAGTACACAGCCATCAGAGAATTATGAGGGTTGTAAACCATGGGGAACTGTGAAGGTTATATTTACCACCCTGTCCGAGAAACAGAATGCCAAAGCGCTTGCGTTTTATAAATGTAGCTAATACAGTACTAGTAAAGCAGTTCCTGTAGCTTGTGTTTGGAGCTCAGATTTATAAACTTAATATTTACCTCTTGCTTTACTTATGATTATGTTGAAGGGATGCTCATCTTGTATGGAGCTTGGATTTATATACTTAATATTAATCTCTTGCTTTATTTATAAGGGATGCTCATCTTGTATGGAGCTTGGATATATATACTGAATATTCACCTCTTGCTTTATTTATGATTATGTTGAAGGGATGCTCATCTTGTATGGTGCTTGGATTTATGAACTTAATATTTACTTCTTGCTATGTTGGGATGCTCATCAAGACCTTCGGTTTTGGGAGCACAAATGGGCAGATGTTTGTGATTTCTTGCAAATCACTTGGTTGTCTGTTGAAAACTTACATGTAAATGTTTGTTCTTCATTCCTTGTCTCCTCCTTGTCTTAACATTGCCTAATGATTCATTGACAGTATATTCATGAATGTAGTAGATTCCAGGAGAACGCACACTATATTTTTTGTTAGGATGAACTCTCTGGAAACTGAGCTAGACTAAGCATGGTTAAAAAATTGCAAAAATTATTGAATAATAATAATAATAATAATAATAATAATAATTATTATTATTATTATTATTAATATTATTACCAATTAATTCATAAAATTAATACATCTCTTTGAATAATTGTAATAATTTGTTTTGGCTTTAGTTCAGTGAAAATAAAAGCCTTTTTTATTTTTTTTAAAGTACATTACTTTTAATAATTGTAATCAATTGTCTTGGTCTTAGTTCAGTAACAATGATGTCTTCTTTAATAACACATGATTTATATATAGTTATATTTTTTTGTATTTTATATATATTTGTTTATTTGCAAGACATGGCTATCAGTCAAAACCTATTAAATCTATTGTTTTGAAAGTATTTTTCCAAACCAACAACTCAACAGTCAATTAAAGCACTTACATATATGAACATTAGTTTAAGTGCATATGGAAGATTAGAGGTGACTGTAACCCTCTTGGAAATGGCAGAAGTCTGCCGGGGAAACACAGGCTCTGAGGCTATACTGTGGATGCCTAAAGCTTTGTGTCCGGTCTATGTAGCATCTCAAGGCTCGGATGGGATCTTGATGGAGGCCAGCGCAAGCAGGAGCAGAGTTTTAATTGAAAGAACCTTTAGCTCAACTGACTGCAAAGGCTCAAATGGGCCCTGCTGTAGTGTTTTATGCACCAGAGACAGGTCCCAAGAGGGTATAGAGGGGGGCCCGGGGAGGATTTAACCTTCTCGCCCCCCTAAGGAACCTGATGACCAGGTCATGATTCCCT